GAGGACCTGTACACCTCATGGGTCAAAAGGAGGGCAGAGAGGATCACTGAAGACCCCTCACACCCTGGACACAATCTGTTTGAACTCCTCCCCTCTGGATGGTGTTACAGGTTGCTGTGCACCAAGACAACCAGGCACAGGGACAGTTTCTTCCCCCTGCCTGTCATTCTGATGAACAATTAACCAATGACCATATGATTGGACAATAAACCTCAGTGCAATACCTGTGTATATATACATTGTACAGATTATACAGACTGGTACAGGTCTCTAGTACTCTGTTTTAAGTACTCTATTTTTATCTCATTTCAATGAACATTCCTTTGTTGTCTGCATTGTTACTGTCTGTTCATACTGCTTATTCTGCATTGTTTGCACTGTTTGTTGCTTGTAAATACTGCTTATTTTTGTTATATTACACAGCCTTATGCTGGTTTACTGTTTGCACATTGAGAGCCGATGTACCAGAGTCAAATTCCTTGTGTGTCCAACACACCTGGCCAATAAAGCAGATTCTGATTTTGAAGTACGATTATAGCTAAAGGAGGCAGAGGAATAACTGAATATGCAACACTCAGAGGAAGAGAAAGAAGAGGGGGAAGCCATTGCTCTCAATCAAGCTACTAGCTTAGCTAGCTTCTAAGCTAGCTGACCTAAAGTAGCAAGTTAATTTTGGAAATTATTAAGAAATTCTGTAACACAAGTGCATAAGTAGAACAGACAGCAGTTGTGGCACAAAAAATGTGCTGATGTCCAGATAAACCTAGAAATCAGTGATCTTAATCCATAAACAATCTGGTAGCATGCACAATACGGTGCAGACAGAGTAAACAGGAAGTGATTATGATTGCAGCAGGAATCCCAAGATATAGGGGATGGGATGGGACAATGTGGCTTTTTTTCAATATGATTTGAAGAATGTCATGGTGTGTATGTACATATCGATTCAGTCACAATACAATACAATCAAAAATTAAATGATGACAATGGGTGAAGAGCTGTGGAATAATTTTACCTTGTTCCTCTTTTGTACCCTTTTCAAGTGCTGGTTTGACTTTTATAAGAACAACCAGATATAGTGACTTAGGTTCTGTTAGGCTGTCTTATTTTACAAAATATATGAAGTTGCTGCTGTATGGACACCACACAATATATACAGTATCACCAGACAAAATGATACATGATGTCATATTTTTTTATTGGTATATAGTGAATTCTGATATATTGTCCAATCTCTATTATATAGTATATTTATCAACTTCATGGACAGAAAAACCTTTAACAGTATTAGGGTCGCTCGGACACGAAAGTGAGCGAGCAATAATAGACGGACCCAGGTAGCTGACTTCGGTGCAAGTAGTGACAAATTTGTTTACAGTGAAAAAAAGCACAGACAGGTAAACAAGCAGGTGAAGAACTGATGGAGAGGAACCAGGTGTCGATCTGCAGCAGAGGAAAACAGTCAGTCATGAAATGGATGGTTGTAGACCGGGCTGCAGACGCTGGGGTCACTCCTGAACTGGTCGTGGCTGAAGCAGTGGTGGCTGACAAGACAGGAGTTCGTACAGACAGTTAAATGGAGACTGTGCATCGACCTGTATTGTGGAGACTGGCAGGACTGAGTAGTTTCCAGGGTCCGGAGGAGAAGTCCGCGGAGGAGGAAAGTACAGCAGGAAAAAAAGGTGAGAGACTTCGGAGACAAAGAGAAACAGGGCTGGCAGGAGCTAGGAGAAAAACATAAGGACTGGGTGAATACAACTGGTACACAAAATAATAACGAGCAATGAAGGGGGCCTGAGAAATCGAGATTGAACTGGCAAGGGAGTGAACGGTGAGCAGGGTATAAGTAGGGAGAAGACTAATAAGGTGCAGCTGGTGATACTCAGGGGAAGTGAAGCAGGTGTGCCAGATTGTGTAATCAGGGTAAGGAGCAAAAACAGTGAGGGAAGTGAGCGAGGCAGGTGCAGCCGGGCAAACCTGACAAACAGTAATTACCACATAATTACTAAGTAATGGTACACAATGTACTGCAATGACAAAATATCACAGCTGAAGCCACCAAACACTGATAACATAAACATGTTTATTTTCTTGTACTGACTGTTACCTCTCATACAATAGTTAAGGTCAAACTATTTAACAAACCGCAAAAGGGTTTTAGACAAAAAATATGTAATGTAAAAATGCAGTGATTACAACTTGGGAAATGTTTTTGGTAAATGAACTGACTCAAAATATGTTTAGTGTGTTTTGCCAATAACACACAATCTAAATCGAACAACTGTCTGTGTGAGTCCTGAGTCCTGAAGTCCTGTCTTGTTTGGTAAAAACTGCTGCTGCTGGAAGCCAAATTGTTAAGAGAGCTGACACTGAAACACGCAGTGACCCC